AAGAGCTAGCTAACCAAGGGTTGCGAGCACAGAAGGTAGATCAGGAGACTTGGCTTGACAGCAGCTCATGTGAAAAGGGATCTAGGTTTTCTGGTTGATCACAAACTAAATGTGAGCCTGCAGTGCGATGTGACTGTGAAGAAAGCTAATGCAATCTTAGGATGCATTAACAGAAGCATTGTGTCCAGATTACGGGAGGTGGTAGTTCTGCTCTATTTTGCTATGGTCAGGCCCCACCTGGAGTACTGTGTCCAGTTTTGGACACCACATTGTAGGAAGGATGTTGACAAGCTCGAGCGTGTCCAGAAGAGGGCAACCAGGATGGTGAGAGGGTTGGAATCCAAGTCTTACGAGGAAAGGCTGAAAGAGTCAGGTATGTTTAGCCTGGGAAAGAGAAGGCTTAGAGGGGACACGATTGCAGTCTTCAAATATTTGAAGGGCTGTCATGTAAAAGATGGAGCAAGACTAGATCTAACGGTGGGAATTACAAGGGATTTGTTACCAGCTAAATATCAGGAGAAACTTCCTAACTGTAAGAGTGGTTGAGCAGTGGAACAGACTGCCTCAGGAGGTGGTGGATGCTCCTTCACTGGACGTTTTCAAGCGAAGGCTGGACGACCATCTTTCAGGTATGCTGTAGGGCTATCTTTCGGCTATGCTCCTGCAGAGTGCAGGGGGTTGGACTAGATGACCGGCAAGGTCCCTTCCGACTCTAACATTCTATGATTCTATGATCTTTACCATCTCCCAGAATACTAAACTAGACTAGATGTTTTCATATCCTAACCGAGAATCATGACCTAGTCTGCTAAGACGGGGGGGGGGGGACCCTCTGTATTTTATTATACAAAAACATTGATGGGTGACAAACTCAAAAAAGGAGCCAGAATGTACTACATGCAGAGTTTAGAAAGCCACGCCCACAATGCAATAGTTAATTGGCTCCTCAGCTCCAAGAAGCCACCTCCTTTGAACCAACACTGCCCTCCCTCCTGAGCTTTTCTCAGTGGCTTCAACGGGATGCAGAGATGGAGGAAAGAGGTTGGTTTGGGTCTGGGCTGTACCGACGGATGCTCCCACACTCCTACTGGATATGAAGTCCCGTGTCGCAGCTACTCTGCTCTCCCAGAGATTGCTAGAGTACCACATTCGTGTTTCACCCTTCTGGATTAAGAGGAGGACTCAAAACAGTTTAGCCTTTTCTTCCTTGAATGCCCATTGCTTGCGCTCAACGTATCTTCTTTCTTGCCAGAGGGATAGCAGTCATTAAAGAAGAAAATCTGACTTCTGCGATACTCTTGGATCTTGACAAGATGCCTGGACTACAGCTCTGTTGGTTGCCAGTCCGGGTATGTGTGAAGCTTTTGTGAACAGAGTCTTGAGTCTTTTGTTTCAGGAAGGGGTGAGCCAGCACTAGGCTCTTGTGGCCCTTTCTAACACGCCCAGGGTAATGCCAATCGCCAGTCTGGGGTCCAGAAGAAATCTTCTCCAGGGACCCTGGAGGTTTCTTGCATTCCTCTGGTCATAGAGCTGGGGAGGGAGCAGTGTAATGTAGTGGTTAAGTGCACAGACTCTAATCTGGGAGAACCAGGTTTGATTCCCCACTCCTCCACTTGCACCTGCTGGATGACCTTGGGCAGGCCATAGTTCTGGCACAGCTATTCTTGAAAAAGAGCAGTCTCTGTCAAGAGCTCTCTCAGCCCCACCTACCTCACAGGGTGTCTGTTGTTGGGAGGGGAAGGGAAAGGAGTTTGTAAGCCGCTCTGAGACTCCTTCGGGTAGGGAAGGGCAGGGTGTAAATCCAATCTCCTCCTCCTCCTCCTCCTCCTCTTCTTCTTTGAATGTCCTGCATTCTGCAGGTGGTTGGACTTGATGACCCTTGGGATCCCTTTCAGCCCTACATTTCTATCACTGCTGCTATGAGGTGTCTATTACAGGGAAAGCTGTACCCTGAGCCATCTGCTTCTTCCCTCTGCCTGCCATTCCCCACCCTCCCTTCTCTTTTCTGCTGCCTTGTTATCTGGTCTTTTAACTTTTCACCCCATGCCCTCCCGAACCGAACTAGGACCAAATATGGTTCACAATTAGGATCTGTGATGGTATGGAGTCACAAGGTATAGATAGTTCGAGACCCGAGTGTGCCGCATGACGGAGTGAACTCCCGTCTCTAGTTCCAGCTCCTGCCAACCTAGCAGTTCGAAAGCAAGAAATTGCAAGTAGATAAATAGGTACCACTTCAGTGGGAAGGTAACAGCGTTCCGTGCACCTTGGTGTTTAGTCATGCCGGCCACATGACCACGGAAAGCTCTTCGGCTTTGAAACGGAGATGAGCACCGCAACACTAGAGTCGGACTCGACTGGCTTTCGAGCAAGGGAACCTTTACCGTTATAGATAGGAACTCTCAGGCTGAGGCATGTGATGCTCTGTATTCTTGGTGCTCGGGCTTCTACAGTGGGAGGGCTTCTAGTGTCTTGGCCCCACTGGTGGACCTCCTGATGGCACTGGTATTTTTGGCCACTGTGTGACAACAGAGTGTTGGGCTGGATGGGCCTTTGGCCTGAGCCAACATCGCCTTCTCTTGTGTTCTTATGTTCTAGGTCTCTCTGCTCCTATTTTTTCACCACCATCACTGCACGTATAAAGTATTCTGCTACATTATACTTGACAAGGAACATTTAAGCAGGAAAAAAGATGGCTAAGGAGAGACATGAGAAGAGGTCTCCAAGTGTTTCACAATCACCTTCCCTTCCCCTCCCCACAACATGCGCCTTGTGAGGCAGGTGGGGCTGAGAGAGGTCTGACAGAAACTGCTGTTTTCCCAGGCTGTGCCAGAACTATGGCTTGCCCAAGGTCATCCAGCAGGTGCAAGTGGAGGAGTGGGGAATCAAACCCGATTCTCCCAGGTTAGAGTCCGTGCACTTAACCACTACACCAAACCACTACACCAAACACAAAGAGAGAACAGTGACTGGCCGAAGGTCACCCAGCAGACTTCATGTGGAAGAGTGAAAAACCAAACCTGGCTCTCCAGACTAGAGTCCAGCCTGCCGCTCTTAACCCTTACACCACACTGGCTCTCAGAATAGCCAGTTTGCATATCATCCATCTTTTGCTTTTGAGTCCAGGTTACCATTCATGGGCAGCCCTGGTAGCGGCCAGCATAGCCTCTGTGTTATGTGCCACGAGGTCACTTCCAACTGATGGCAACCCTATGAATTAATGGCAGGTGAGAGACAGAGGTGGTTGGCCATTGCTTTCTTCTGCAGAGTCTTCCTTGGTAATCTCCTATACAAGACTTATGGTGACCCCAGCAAGGGGCTTTCAAGGCAAGTGAGAAGCAGAGGTGGTTGGCCATTGCCTTCCTTTGCAGAGTCTTCCTTGGTGGTCTCCCATCCAAGACTTCGTGAATTTCATGCAGGGGGTTAGACTATATGACTCTGGAGGTCCCTTCCAACTCTATGATTCTAAGTACTGAGCATGCTTAGCTTCTGAGATGAGACGATATCGGGCTATACCATGCCACCTTCCCTTACAGCCTATTCTTTATATACGCACACATCCACATTTTTCTAGGGGGTGAAACACCTGTTTTCTTACAGATGGTCAGGGACTGATGGTTTCATAGAATCATCGAGTTGGAAGGGACCTCCAGGTTCATTTAGTCCAACCCTCTGCACAAGGCAGAAAATTCACAAATACCTCCCTCCTCACAAACCGTGAGTGACCCCTGTTCCATGCCCTGAAGATGACAAAAAAACCTCCAGGATCCCCGGCCAAAGGGACCTGGAGAAAAATTGCTTCATGACCTCAAAGTGGTGATCAGCATTTTCCTGGGTGTGTGTGTGTGTAAGAAAGGGCCACGAGAAATAAGCACTGAGGCAACCCTTCCTGCCTCCCCTTCTCATGATCTGCTTAAGTTCACAGAATCAGCATTGCCGTCAGTTGGCCGTCGAGTCTCTACTTAAAAACCTCCAAAGAAGGAGAGCCCACCACCTCCCGGGGAAGCCTGTTCCACAGAGGAGCTGCTCTAACTATCAGGAAGTTCTTCTGAGTATTTAGCCAAAAACACTGTTTGATTTAATTTCGGGAAGCCTGTTCCACAGAGGAGCTGCTCTAACTATCAGGAAGTTCTTCTTTAGCCAAAAACGCTTTTTGATTTAATTTTAACCCGTTGAGGCAGGACATCATCTCAACCAGGGCTATTTTTCGGCAGGAACGCACAGGAACGGAGTTCCGGCTGGCTTCAGAGTTGGCCACGCCCACTACAGCCAAAACCTCTGTGTGCGTGGCGACAGAGGGAAGGCCTGGAGAGTGGAGGGGCTGGGGGGGCTGGGCTCCCCACAGCCGCAGGGCACCCAGGCAAGCCAAGGGAAGGCATGGGTGTGGCCTAATATGCTAATGAGCTGTGCTGTCAGGAGTGTGGCCTAATAGGCTAATGAGTTTCTGCTGTTGGGTGTGGCCTATTATGCTAATGAGTTCCTGCTGGGCTTTTTCTACAAAAAAAAGCCCTGATCTCAACCCACTGAGGCAGAATATCATGAGGCAGAACGTCAGAATTTAATCATCAGGCCATTCCGAAGGACAGCTTTGCCTCCCTGTCTAATTCCGTGCTGCTTTCTCTGTCACACAACAGGATGGACCGCAGATGGAAACCATCTAGACAGCTGTGACACGTGGCAGCGATGGGCACTGTGACGCCTACAGTTGAGCAAGGCAAGAACATGACCCTGAATGTCAGTGAATACAGCAGTGGGTATCTTTCTCCTTTCACCGTATGTATTCAGCTTCTGTATATCATATTTCTCCTTTTCTTCCTGTGCGGACTGGTGGGGAATGTGAAAATCATCTGGATCCTCGGCTTCTGCATTGAGAGGAAGCCTTTCGCCACTTACCTCTTGAACCTGGCTGTAGCGGACGTCGGCACCCTTTTGAGTGGGCTTGCGGATGAGATGAACATGGCCCTTGTGTTTTTTAGTCCCGTGACTCATGGCGGATTTGATATTATCTCTCCATTAGCGGATGTCCTTGTTTTCTTCACGTACAATGCAAGCTTGTATCTCCTAACAGCCCTTAGCCTGGAGACTGTACTCTCTCTGCTGTTTCCCGTCTGGTACCGATGCCATCGACCAGGGAGGTCTTCTGCTGTCATCTCATTTCTGCTCTGGATCCTCTCCGGCCTGCTTTCTGGAATATTACTGTTGTGTCACCTTCAGGGGGCATACTGTGGAACGATTGTGAATCTTATTTGCATTGTGAATTTCTTGGTTTCCACTCCGCTCATGGTTGCTTCCAGTCTGACTGTGACGATCGCCGTCTGCGGTAACTCTCGGGGGCGCCGGCTACCCAGGCTGTACGTAACTATCTTGACCACCGTCTTGGTCTTCATCATCTTTGACGTTCCTCTGAGTGTTGTGTATCTCTTTTTTTCCAGCTCTGAGGATTTTCCTCTGGAAGCCATGGAAATCATTTACCTCGTGGCCTCTTTCATCGGCAGTCTTTACCCCCTCATCTACAACTTGGTTGGGAGAGACAGGAAACGTCAGTTCAAAGAGTCCTGGAAGGTTGTGTTGCGTAGGCTTTTTAAGGAAGAAGGAGATGCTAGAGAGGAGTTGGGCAAAGGTAATTGGGACAGAACAGTCAGGCAAAGATAATAGGCCGAGATAGGCAAAGATAACACAGTAGAGACTTTGAAAGCTGCACTCAACAACACTCTCACATTGTTAGAATCATAGAATCATAGAGTTGGAAGGGACCTCCAGGGTCATCTAGTCCAATCCCCTGCACAATGCAGGACATTCACAAATACCTCCCACTCCACACACCCCCAGTGACTGCTGTTCCATGCACAGATGTTCACAAACATCTAGCCTCTGTTTGAAAACCTCCAAGGAAGGAGAGCCCACCACTTCCTGAGGAAGCCTGTTAGCATATGACAGATCCTCTTGGTACAGGGCAAAGATATCACATCACAGAAACTTTGGTCCCGATCACATGCTCCTGCAGGAAATGACCCCTGTCTTTATAGCATTTAATGGTCGACTACTCAGTAGGAGCTGCGGTGGCTCAAGTGGTTAAGACGCTTAACTGCAGGCTGTGGAAGGTCAGTAGTTCAGCAGTTTGAGACCCGGTTGCCGCATGACGGAGTGATCTCCCGTCTCTAGTTCCAGCTCCTGCCAACCTAGCAGTTTGAAAGCAAGAAATTGCAAGTAGATAAATAGGTCCCGCTTCGGTGGGAAGGTAACAGCATTCCATGAGCCTCGGTGTTTAGTCATGCCAGCCACATGACCACGGCAACATCTTCGGACAGCGCTGGCTCTTCGGCTTTGAAACGGAGATGAGCACCGCAACCCTAGAGTCAGACTCGACTGGCTCTCGAGCAAGGGAACCTTTACCTTACTCAGTTTTTAATGCTGCTACCTTCTGCTCCTGTGTTTGTTCAGAATTCATGTGCATTCTAGATAAGTGTACATATGAACATGGATGGCCACTTTGCACCAAAATAATAATAAAAGATTGGATTTATACCCCGCCCTTCACTCGGAGTCACAGAGAGACTTACAGCCTCCTTTCCCTTCCCCTCCCCGCAACAGACACCCTGTGAGGTAGCTGCGGCTGAGAGAGCTCTGAGAGAGCATGTGCCTAGCAATGAAAGCTGCATCAAACTGAAAGGAGTGTAAAGGCGGCTTCTCCATCCATTATGCCAAAAGCCGATCTCCAGTGGGAGTCAACCAAAGAGCTGCTTCCCCCAAGGACACCTGGAGCCTCCTCTCTGATAGTCTGGTCTTACTGAATGACCCCGATATCCAAAACAATAGGCAATGAACCAGTCCCAGCCATCTCTTCCTTATCTTAATGCTTGAGCAGGGAAGTCTCTGCCCTGGGTCAATTATGTAAACGACCCAGCCATCAATACTAACAAGAGCAATAGCTGACTTCCTAATCTCCCCAGGAGAAGATTTCGAATATTGTATTGCAAATAAGGAAAACTTCCCTCCGTGAACAGAGCTGTGTTTCTTGAAAGCTTATGCTACAACAAAGTTCTTTGGTCTGGAGAGCCAGTTTGGTGTGGTGCTTAAATTCTCCATCATCTCCCCGTAGGCCAGGATTTTAAAGTTAGGGGGGCATATAAATGCTTTAGGGGGTACTGGCTAATCAAATTCAAGGAATACCCGGCTCCTTCCCCGCACCTGTTTGGCGTAGTGGTTAAGTGTGCGGACTCTAATCCGGGAGAAGCGGGTTTGATTCCCCACTCCTCCGCTTGCACCTGGCTGGATGACCTTGGGCAAGCCATAGTTCTGTCAGAGCTGCTCTTGAAGAGAACAGTCTCTGCCAGAGCTCTCTCAGCCCCACCTACCTCACAGGGTGTCTGTTGTGGGGAGGGGGAGGGAAAGGAGTTTGTAAGCCGCTCTGAGACTCTGAATGAAGGGCGGGGTATAAATCCAATGTCTTCTTCATCTTCTTCTCTTCTTCTTAGAGGTGCTACTGGACTTTTTATGACTTTCCCCTCCACAACAGCACAAAGTTTGAGTCCAGTGGCACCTTTAAAACCAACAAAGTTTAATTCTGCGTATAAGCTTTTGTGTGCATGCACACTTCTTTAGATACTCTTCGCAATGATGACAAATTCTTCCTTCTCAAATGAACCCATAGGCCATCTCTTGGCCTTTGTTAAGGGTCATCAAGTGCTGCCCAGTCCTTTGTTAGGTAAAGGTAAAGGTTCCCTTGCTCGAAAGCCAGTCAAATCCGACTCTAGGGTTGCGGTGCTCATCTCCGTTTCCAAGCCGAAGAGCCAGCGCTGTCCGAAGACGTTTCCGTGGTCATGTGGCTGGCATGACTAAGCACCAAGGCGCACGGAACACTGTTACCTTCCCACTGAAGTGGTACCTATTTATCTACTTGCAATTTCTTGCTTTCGAACTGCTAGGTTGGCAGGAGCTGGGGCCAGAGATGGGACCTCACTCCATCATGCGGCACCCGGGTCTCGAACTGCTGAACTACTGACCTTCCACAGCCTGTAGTTCAGCGTCTTAACCACTTGAGCCACCGCAGCTCTTTGTTAAAGCAGGCAAAACTAGTATTCTGGGCAGGTAACCTAATCAGCTTTGGATGATACAATCATGCCCATTTCTGCCGTTACCTTCTTCCTCCCAGTCCCCTAAACTTCAAACCTTCCAATACGATTCTGGTTCATAAATTTGAACACCTATATGGCAAAACGTGTGGGTGAATCAAAGAACAGGTCCCAAATTCCTTAAAATTTGAGGTTAAATGCAACACTCAGGTTTAGATGATACATACAAGATCCTAGATTTAAGAGCAGGAAGAATAAATTTAACTACAGAGAGCATGATTCTCTTATTGCTACCAGCCAAGAGAAATAAAAGCTGAAAATCATGCCAGCAGACAGGAAACCTGGCAACAAGAGGTTTTATAATGTGAGTGTTTAGAGTGGAATACAACCGATGGGATTTGAAGTTTCTAGACAGACCCAATTACATCACAGCAGAGACGAAGAGATTGGATTTATACCCCACCCTTCACTACTCGGAGTCTCAGAGCGGTTTACATTCTCCTTCCCCTCCCCACAACAGACACCCTGTGAGGTAGGTGGGGCTGAGAGAGCTCTTTCCAGAACTGCTCCTGAGAGAACAGCTCTGAAATAACTTGTGACTGACCTATGGTCACACCAGCAGCTGCGTGTGGAGGAGTGAGGAATCAAACCCAGTTCTCCCAGATTAGAGTCCACACTCCTAACCCCTACACCAAACTGGCTCTCTCTTAATACAAGATGCTGTCCTCTTTCTTAATACAACTATAGGCACATAAAAGCCCCCCGCCCCACTGCCCCTCCAAACCTTTTGTAGCCAGTTCAGATTCCTTCATGTTACCCCAGCTTCTTGGCTGGCCTCTCTGGTTCTACACCCACTCTGTGGTGCTGTCTACCATCTGGTCAATGTTCTTCCCCCAGGAGTGCATCACCTTCTTCAAGAACAGGCGTGCGTGTTTGGGTGTTCCCCTACTTTTCTTAGCCCCCTCCCATGGACAGTAGCTTGGTAAGGAAAGGTTTCAGTTTTACTAACGCCTTCAGTTGTTCCTTCTATAAAATTGTCGTTTGCAAAAAAAAAAACACTTAATCTTGTAGACGTTGTTTTCCCCTCGCAAAATAAAAACCTCTTTTATTTTGAAAAGCTGATTCCCCTAATTGCTCATGAGCCTTGGTCTCAGTATCGAGCTCCATATACATAGAGTTAAGGTCTCAATTCTTAAAAAGGTAAAGGTTTCCCTTG